AAAGAAAGAAAGAAAGAAAGAAAGAAAGAAAGAAAGAAAGAAAGAAAGAAAGAAAGAAAGAAAGAAAGAAAGAAAGAAAGAAAAGGAAAGAAAGGGAAAGAAAGAGAGAGAGGGAGGGAGGAAAGGAGGATGGAAGGAAGCAAGGAAGGAAGGAAGGAAGGAAGGAAAGAAGGAAGGAAGGAAGCAGCCTGGAGAGGCTGGCTGGTGTGATGCCAGTGAGGAAGACAGGAGGGCAGGCTGATGAAGTTGGGTGGGGCTGACATTGGATGTCTGGTTAGGCAACCCTCTCGACAGGGTCTAAAAGGTCTTTAGGCTGAGGTGTCATGAGATTAAATTGTGTTCTGTCTGGCAGTGGCAAGATCTTGAACTTCTAGCCTCCAGAATTGTAAGAAAATAAATTTCTATTGCTTAAAAAAAACACCAAAAAGCCAAAAAACTTTTAGTCAATATGGCAACTGAATAGGCCTGGGGCCACCTTTTGGTAAAGTGACTTTGTGGCTCATTAAGTTACCTCTCTTGATACAGCTTAAGGGAAACCAGCCTTGCACCCAAGACCAGGAGCTGTGTTTCTCTTCCTCACTTGAGATGGAAACTAACAAATACAAGAATTATATTTAAATTAAAAAAAATCTGTTGCTTAAGCCATCTAGTCTGTTGTATTTCATTATGGCAAGCCTCGTAAACTAATACAATACCAGAAGAACCCCCAAAGTGGAAACAACCAGGTGTCTATCAATTTATAACTGAATAAGCAAACTGTGATATATCCACACAATGGAATATTATTCAGAAATAAAAAAGACTGAAGTATGTACTACAACACGAGTGATCCCTAGAAACATTATGCTAAATGAAAGAAGCCAGTCACCAAAGATCACAGATTGTAACATTCCATTTATGTGAAATGTGCAGAATATGCAAACCTGTAGAGATAGAAAATAGAGCAGCGGTTGCCCAGGGCTGGGGTGCGTGGGAGTTTGGGTGAGAAGTGGCAGCTGATGGGTATGGGGTTTCTGTTTGGGATGATGAAAATATTCTAAAATTGATTGTGGTGAGTACCTCACAACTCTGTGATTGTAGTAAATATCATTGAATTGCACACTTTAGGTGAATTATATGGTGTGTGAATTTTATCGCATTAAATTTTTACCCCTTAAAAAGCATTCCTTTTTTCATAGCTGAGAAGTATGAAGTATGGATATACGACAGTTTGTTCATCCACTCGCTTGTGGACATCTGGGTTGTTTCTAGTTTTGGCGATTGCTAATAAAGTGCTATGAACATTTGTGTACAAAGCTTTGTAGGAACATATGCTTTCATTTCTTTTGGATAAATACCCAGGAATGGAATTGCTGGGTCATGGGGTAGGCATATACTGAATTTCATTAGAAACAGCCAAACAGTTCCAAAGTAATTATATCATTTTACATTCCTATCTACCTCATCCGTTTTCATGTCTAACATAGACATTTAGGTGTGTTTTATAACAAACCTAACATATTAGTACAGTAGTATGCATTGATAGTTGTAAATAAATATACATATTATTGAGATATTGAGATATATTATTTGATATATGAGCAAAACATTTTTACTACAAGCTCTGTAGCCTGGGGTGAGGAGAAAGTAGATACTGTGCTATTTTTGTATTAGTTTCCTAGGGCCACCATAACAAATTACCGCAAATGTGGTGGCTTAAAATAACAGAAATATGATATCTTACAGTTCTGAAGGCCAAAAGTCTAAAACCAAGGTGTCAGCAGGGCTGTGCTCCTGCCACAGGCACTAGGGAACTTCTTGCACTCCTGGGGGCTCCAGGCATTCCTTGACTTGTGGCTGCAAACCCCCCTCTAATCTCTGGCTGTCTTCACGCTGCATTTTCCTTTTCTCTCCCTATGTCTTCTCTTCTGCCTCTTAATCAGGACAGTCCTTGGATTTAGGGCCCACCAGTAATCCAGGATGATCTTATCTTGAGATCCTTAACTTAATTACATAAGAAGACCCTTTTTCCAAATTAGGTCACATTCACAGGTTGTCGGGGTTAGGACATATCTTTCAGTGAGGGGGCGGGTGCACCATTCAACCACTATAGTCCTGTTCTAGCAGAACAAATGGGCAGGAGAGGACTGATTCAAGAGAGTTTAATTTGTTCTGTTGTGTTTGCTCTCAAGGCATATACAGGTATAGATACCTATATATGTTTGGCGACAGAGTAGATGTGGGGCATTTGGGAGGGGGGAGAGCTCAAAGATGGTCAGGTTTCTAGCTTGGGTGCAGGGAGATGGGTCTGCCTGGAACACTCTTTTCCCAGGAGAGAAGAGGAGACATGGGCATGGCATGCTCCCTCCTTTTTTTCTGGTTTCTGCTCAAATGTCACATCCTCAGAGAGGCCTCCCCTATCCATCCTATCTGAAATGATACTTATATGCTCAGTTAGGATTACAGTTGGCTGGTAGTAATGGAAAACCTCAAAACAGCACTTGGGTTAACACATTGGAATTTCATTTTTCTCTCAGG